TTGTTTGTTTGTTTGTTTGTTTGTTTGTTTGTTTGTTTGTTTGTTTGTTTGTTTGTTTGTTTTAGGGAGCTGGCTCTTGGCTACATTAGCCCCAGCATAAAGCAGAAGAGCCATTTTGAAGTAATAAAATCCAAGTCACAGATTTAAGGCAATCAATAACTTCTTATATTTTTAGTTTATTCATTTTTTGTATTACAGAGACAGTAACAAAGGCATATGTGTAAGGGAATAGGAAAAGGGAAACAAATAATTAATATGAGCTAAAATAAGGTAATTGTCTGCTTGACTTTCCATTACTTTCCATTTTAATCACACTGTGTGCTTGTCTATATGTGCTTGCACAGCTTTTTTGCATGTCTACACTCAGTATTATATGACATACATATCCAGGAATTACATATATCTTTCTTCCATCTGATGCACATGAAGAACCCAACGCCTCTGAATGGCTTGTTGGTTGGATTTAGCCATAAGGACTAGTGACTGGACCAGTGTATGACTATCAGGATAAACCAAGCAGAAGAGACGGTGGGTCACAACTTGGCAATGCAATGAAAAAGAAATATTCTCTGCTGCCTACCCATACTTTATGTTTACTTTAAATAACAGCATGAATGTATGCATTTTTATTTGATTATCAGTGTGAACGTTGACAAACAATCTAGGTAAATCAATGCTGTTAGGCACCCAGTTGTCCTCCTTAACTAAAACTTCAAAATATATTGAAAGCGCTTTTTAAGGGCTGGACTTCATAAATTATAAAAATATAAATTACCAACATATGCCAGGTGTTGACATTATAGGACTAATACAATTTCCTAATGTTTTTAATCTTATAATTGTGACATATTCATGGTTATAGTGTGATTTTCAAATCAGGTCTACAAAGAGAAAGCTTATAAAAGAAAAAAAATGGTCCACAGACTTGTATGGTGAGAGAATGGTCCAATTTTCATATACTGAGAGCAAAATATGCAACAAATGTCCTCACTGGAGGAACTTGATTGAACTTAATGAAAGAGCAGTCTTATGTGTCACTGTTTATAACACTGGACACTTATCCTTTCCTGGATGGTCTGCCTAAAACAAAAATATTCATGGTTTGAGTTCAGAGCATACCCACTTCTTCAGAAAGTGCCACTCCTCCTCCTCTGTCTGCACTCAGCGTCTTTATATCTGTTCCTTTTAAAAGGTGTCAGTGACTCATGATTCTCCAAAAAACGTTGGAGGGTAAAAGAGTTCAATGCAAAAGTCTGGGCAGAGAGAATAAGCAATCCCCAAAAACTCATCCTATTCTGCACAGCTAGAGAAGGGCCATTATGAACTTCAGTGAAAGAAGCTTGGAAGGACATCCCTCTTAGTCAAATAAAAATGCAGATGCATTTGCATTTCTATCCAGCAGTTGTTGTTTAATGTAAGGGTTGAAGTGAATAAAAAAAAAAATCTAATATCAAGACACACACACGTGTACACACAACACCTGTCACCTGTAGTAACATCATGAGCTGTGTTCAGAAATCATCATGTAGGTATATAAAGTCATACATTTTACCATGATTATCATCT